TTATTTCAAGACTCTTCCCTCTCGATCACTTCCAGCTTTCTACCCTCAATATCTAAGCTTCTTCAATAACCAGACTTTCCTCCCACTAGTCACCGCGGTACCACTTAGCCATTGCCAGAGTTCTCAGACACGTTTTCTGGGTGGGCGGCTCCCGCAGCCCTGGCTTGCTATAAGTCCGGCCTTCATCTCTCAAAGACGGACTTGCAATCCTGATCCTCCACCCCTCATGCAACAACACTCCCAACTCGGGTCATTGGATAAGCACTCTCAGACCCATTCCGAACCCCAGAGTGAGCCCTGTCCTCCTCCACCCACCCCGAGACCAACCCATCTGGGTTTCCCCGAGGCCCAAACCCCAGTTTTCTGAGGACCCGGTCATATACAGCCCGGATAATGAGAAGCTGGCGCTGCAGCTGCTCACCACAGCGGCGGTGGTAAGGACGCAGGCGGTGGTGTAGGCACGGCTGACCGGCGGGATTTGCAGGTACTCTAGCCGGAGGCTCTGGTACGCCATCTTCCCCACCGCCGCCTGCCCCCCGACTTCCCCTTCCGCCAGTCAGCGGCAGGGCGGGATCAAAGCGGGGCCCTCCCATTAGCTTGCCCGATGATGTCAAATCAGCGTCATGCAATCGGCCAGCCACCAATCGCTAGAGTCCTAAGGAAATCTATTCACCAATCACGAGTTGCGTCTCCGCGGCGCCCCAGCCTTGCTTCCCCATCCACCAACGTCGGGAGAAGAGAGTACGTACCGGTTCCTCTCGCCAATCCCTGCGGGCCACAGCTAGCTTGCCCGCCCGGCCCCTTTCTGTCACCAATCTAGGTGGCCCCTCCCGACCGGACAGTCAGCCAATCAGGAGCGCGATAGCATCCCGCCTTTGCTCTCGTTAGCTGAGGCTGGCGTCCGTCGGAATTTAGGGGAGCCAAGCCGCGCTGCCCATCTCTGGCAACAAGAGGTGGTTTAAAGGAGGTGGCGGGAAGCCGGTGTTTGATCAAGTTCGTCACCCTTATGGTCGCTTCGGTAAGTGCTATGGGGCTGCATCTTCTCAAAGGAGGAGAGGGAAGGAGTGGCACTGGAGTAGGCATCATCGCAGGGCGCTGGAGCAGCCTAGCCGACCGGCTTCCGACCCAAAAGTCCCGACATGCCCCGGGGTCGCGGCGCGGGACTGGAGTTGGTTCTCCTGCCGGAAGCAGTTTCTGCCTGCCAGTTTTCTGGAGCGCAAGTCAACTCACCGAGGTGTCCTGGGCACTTCCCGCGCGTTTACTCTGCAAATACTGATTAAGCTGCCCTTATACCCTGCCCTCAGGAACTCGAGGGCTAGCAGAGAAGATGAGACAGGCCCGTGATAATATCCTAAAGTAGAACTCGGTCAGTGCCGGAAGAAAAATCATGATGGGGATTCAGAGGAGGGGGGTGCGTCACCAGGGCGGTGTATTTAAGCTGACCCTTGAAGGATATTTGGCCACGGCATCCTTCCTTGAGGGAAAGAAAATAGCGCGGTTTAGTTGGAATAAGGAGTGATCAGATTTTGACAGGCAAAGGTAAGACTATCATAG